AATAATAATATATAAAGTGTGTATCTGCATCGTATGTATATTCATATTATTATGCATGTACTTAGTAAAAAACCGTTATTTTAATATTACAATCAGACACTCCAATTGGGTAGTTGCCAGAGTATGAAAATTAAAAATCGAATTAGTCCGTAAGTAAGGTAATGAAAAAATATTAGACACGCATTTTTTTATTTTCTCGTATAATAAAACAATACTTAGATAAAACGAATCAAAGTTTAGGAGTGGGAGCTAAAACGTCATTTCTACGTATAAAATGTACATAGACGTCACGCGACATTTGAAATCAATATATCGTCGAAAGTATTCGTTTCTGTAAGAAAATAAAAAATGCGTGTCTCATGATTTAAAATTATCTACCAAACGGACATTAAAATAAAAATTAGGGATCTGCCCTATTTTATTTATCTAGATGTCCACCTCCCCTACCTGTTCTCATAGTAAAAAACCAAATCTCTTTCAGAAAAAGAACTACACAAGATCCTAAACTCCATGGAGGACAAATGCGGTCGGACCTCTCTGTCCCTCTACCAGAGTTTCCGCAGGAGTGAGGGAGACGCAGAAACAACTTCTGGCAGCGTCAAACATGCTCCTACTAGGAAGAGAAGCAATCAGATCGCGAGGGAACTCAGTGACATGGTGACTTATGTCCAGGTATGTGGAGGATTAGACTTTGTTCAGTAGGATTTAGAGTTCATTTTAGAAGAATACGAGCTACTTCCGCGCGGTTTCACACGCTCTGCTCAGCTCATATTCGTTGTAGAGTGATGTTTTATAGCCTATAGCCATCCTCGATAAATGCGCTATCCAACACAAAAATAATTATTCAAATCAGACTTGTAGTTACGGATATTAGCGCGTTCAAACAAACAAACAAAAATCAAACTCTTCCGCTTTATATATTAGTATAGGATATAAACCTTCCTTAAGAATCACTCTATCTATTTAAAAAACTGCATCAAAATCCGTTGCGTAGTTTTAAAGATCGAAGCATACATAGGGACAGACAGACGGCGGATAGCGACTTTGTTTTATACTATGTAGTTATTACTTTTACATATAATTCATAAGATAAAATACTTAACATTTACATTATATGGGAAGTGTATTTTATAGCTACACCTCTGCCTATTCCTTTAGGAAATGAAAGTCGCAATATTATTTAAGTAAATTATTTAAATTTTTTAACTACACAACTACGTAAAAAGACTCTTGAACAACATATTTTTCCACAGGCGATCAAGTTCCGGGGTCTGAACCCGCTATCTCCACGGAGTTCAATGAAACAACCGAGTAACATTGCCAAGGAGACCGCTCCGGGTAGCAGCTTCGAGTCCTCGGAGAGTAGCGATAGCACTAGTACGGTGAGAATAAATAACATGACATAACATGACATAACGGAACATAACGTAATGTAATGTAACATAATGGAATGTAACTGTTATAATTTTTACACAGTTGCACAATTTATTATACTTTCACTGTCATACTATATTTTATAGTCTTTTTTTTATATTTTACTAGCTACTGCCCGGGAGAAAACGGGTTTTTTTTTAAAATGTTGCCCTACACTAGGATTATCTCCTGTGTCGTGGGTGCGTTTACAAACATACAAGTTCACATACACATGACACCCAGACCCGAAACAACAATCTGTGGATCACACAAAGTGTTGTTCCGTGCGGGAATCGAACCCGCGACACAGGAGATAATCCTAGTGTAGGGCACGGGCCGCACCAACCGTGTAGTCAAGTTTGCATTGCGCGTACAAAGACGCCCAATCCCGTTTCCTTCCCTTCTTTCTTTCCTAACATAACATCGCATAAATTTGTTCCCTCTATAATAATGATAACTAAGTATACTATTACTGTCGCGGAGAACCTAACGGGTAACCGGGGCTCCGGCTCGACGTGCAGGAGAAGGAACGGGGTGGTTTTCAGTCAGTAAGAGTCTGACACTCCCTCCCGCCTCACCCAGGCGGGAGCAGTCATTTGATGATTTTCCCCCCTTAAAAAAAAAGTATACTATTACTGACTATATCCTATGTTTTTATATCCTTACAGATAGCACAACAGCCACGGCCTCGGTGTCTGAACGCTCCAGCAGTCCACCACCCCTGCTACCGCTGCTCCTCAGTGAACGAGGCTATCGGCAAGAAGATCTGCAGGAAGCATCCCATGGCACTGATTGCGCACACAGAGACACAGCTTGTTAGAACGTATCCCGCCGGGTAAGGATATAACACAATGTAACATTGACATAACGAACCATAATGAAACATAACGTGATGTGAAATAATAGGGTGTAGCGTGGCATAACGGTATGTCGCATAATGGGACGTCATATACTATGGAATTATGGAATATTCTCTAGTAGTTTTTAGTTACATTTTTAAATTACTTTTTCTTAATACTGCCTGCAAGGGGTCTCGGGTTCAATGCCCGGGCCGAGCATCGCAATACTGGGTTTTTAAAAATCTCAGTAGTAGCACAGAGTCTGGAAATGTGCCCGGTATATAGCAATAGGCTCACTCCCTATTACATGGGACTCATAACATAAATAGTGATAAGTGGGTGTTACATTATAAATTGGCATTAAGTGCCGTGATGTGCACCCCTGCCTACCCCTTCGAGGATAAAAGGCGTGATGTTATATTATGTTTTTCTTAATCATATAAACAATAAAATTTACATTAAAAAAATCAATAATAATTTTGATATTGATGACTTTACACTAATCCTTTACATTTCAGCCTAAGAATAGACTCGTCGAACTTCGATCCAGTGACCTTCTGGTCCTGTGGCGTGCAACTAGTAGCACTGAACTATCAGACTGAAGATGCAGCCATGGCAGTGAACGCCGCGATGTATGAGAGTAATGGATGTACCGGGTACGTTAGGAAACCCAGCGTCATGTGGGACCCGGGACATATCGCTTATAGGAGGTGAGAATTTATTAAACTGTCAAACACCAAGCGGTCACCGGTGACCGCAACCTATTGTTCTATAATTGTGTCTATAATGACGGTACTCGACGAGTTAAAATAGTTTTTATATTAATAGGACTAGAGGTCTCGTTGGCCGAGTGGTCGCAAGTGCGACTGCCGAGCAAGGGGTTTCGGGTTCGATTCCCGGGTCGGACAAAGTATTACTGGGTTTTTAAAAAAAATCTCAATAGAAGCACGGAGTCTGGTATATGGCAACAGGCTCACCCCCTATTACATGGGACTCATAACATAAATAGTGAAAAGTGGGTGTTACATTGTACAGTGATATAGAGTGCCGTAATGTGCACCGCTGCCCACCCCTTCGGAGATAAAAAGGCGTGATATTATGTTATTATGTTAGGACTAGAGGTCTAATCTAGAGGAAAATTGATTACATTTTCTTTTTTATTCATTTTTTTATTTAAAAGTAAAACGTTGCCAGAAACAAATATTTTCTCCTGTGTCGTGAGTGCGTTTACAAACATACAAGTTCACATACACTCTATGAGCCGGGCGGCGAGCTACCCATGCTCGCCGTCCTTAGGCCTGTGCTTACGGTAAAGAATTAGAGATGGTGATAAAAATCTATTCTGGGTAGGTAGAAAGTCAATCACCACACCGTGAACTGCTCTCCAAGAAACTCCGGTTAAGCTCCACATAAGAAAAAATGCACGGTTGGTGCAGTGACTGGGCGTCTGGCTGCCGTTCAACGTGTTCGATTCCCGCACGGAACAACTCTTTGTGTGATCCACAGATTGTTGGGTCTGGGTGTCATGTGTATGTGAACTTGTATGTTTGTAATAAATGACAACACATTTAAAAAAAACGTGTTTGAAAAACTGACTGCCTCGTTGGCCGAGTGGTCGCAAGTGCGACTACCGGGCAAGGCAAAATATTACTGGGTTTTTTTCAAAAAATCTCAGTAGTAGCACGGAGTCTGCAATTGCGCCCGGTATATGGCAATAGGCTCACCCCCTATTACATGGGACTCATAACATAAATAGTGAAAAGTGGGTGTTACTTGTGTGCACCTCTGCCTACCCCTTCGGGGATAAAAGGCGTGATGTTATGTTATGCATGTTTGAGAAACCTATACTTCAGCAGTTGACTGACAGATAGTTAAAATTGAATATTAAACTGTCAAACACCAAGCGGTCACCGGTGGCCGCAACCTATTGTTCTTTAATTGTGTCTATAATGACGGTACTCGACGAGTTACAAAAGAATTTGTATCATAAGCCAACGAGCAAAAGTCATCAAAAACCCTTTACCTATTCCATTTATAACCAAAATCCTACATAATACTTTTTTTTTTTTTTTGATGTCGAGGGGAAACCTTCAAAAGGCGCCTAGCTTTTTGGGGAGAAAGACTAGGGAGTGTGGGATTCTTACCTCACTAAAACCACCCCGGTGGCCACCCTCAGCACCTGTAAGGGGCACCGGGTCCTCTGAAGAGACCTGCTCCGGAGCCCCCACGATGCAACGCCTGATACAGCACATCCCTAGGGAGACGAGCGTGTCCCTTGATCATCGCTTTGCACGGCAGCACGTGACCACTGTGCTACCGTCTTCCCTGAGGCCACTAGATAGGCACCTGGAATCCTACATAATCCTACATTTGTTACAGATTCAACCCAATGGACAAGGAATTCGATGGTATACACGCTGCCCACCTCACTCTAGCGGTGATCTCAGGACAGTACGTAGCTGAAAACGTATACTCCTTCTACAACGCCTTCGTGGAAGTTGAGATCTTAGGAGTACCAGCTGACTGCAAGAAGATCAGAACTAAGGTCGCGAGGAAGAACGCTTTGAATCCTATCTGGAATGAGACTTTTAGTTTCAAGGTAATACTAGCTGTACTTGCAACTTTGTCTGCGTTTTTTCTAAAATAAAAGCTTATGTTACTCCTTAGTTCATCAGCTACCTACCAATAAAAGTCCCGTCTAAATCGGTGCAACTATTTCAGAGATATGCCAGTACAAACAGGCAAACAGACAGAAATTATAAAAAAAATAAGTATTTTGGTATATGTATCGTATGTATATATATATATATATAACGCTTTCATTACGATCGCCCTGTAACGAACTATGTAACAAAATCTAAGAATGTGAATAGGCGTGTCGACAGGGTAAAAAAATCAAAAAAGTAATTAGTCCGTCATTAAGATCGCACAAAAATATCAGACACGTATTTTTTGTTTTATCAAATTAACAGAAGAATACGTAGTTATTCCGCATTAAAGTTAGGGAGTGGGGGGTGTTGACGTCACACTTACGGAGAAATCGTACCTAATTGTGACGTCACGCGTCATTTTAACTCAAAATATCTACATGTTTTTTTGGATACGAGAAAAAAGAAAAAATACGTATCGAAGATTTTTAAAATATCGAAAAGACGGACAAAAAATTAAAAAATAGTCGCCATGCCTATTACACTCACTTCTAATTGTTATACCATCATGAAACTAAAAAAAAATATACCACGGCCTCACAGAAGACCGACGTGAAGCAACGCTTGCATTGTGTTTCGTCGTGTGAGTGAGGTTACCGGAGGCCCAATTTCCCTCCCCTTCCCCAATCTCCCCAATCCCTGAATCCTCAACCATCCTCAAACTCCTAATCCCCAGAAGGCCGGTAACGCACTTGTAACGCCTCTGGTGTTCCAATATGGAAAAAAACTGATAAACGAGCAGACGGATCATCTGATGTTAAGCAATCGTCGTCGCCCATGGACACCTGGAACACCAAGGGGTTACGGCCTTTTAGGGATTAGAAATTTGAGGATTGTTGAGGATTTGGGGATATTGGGGAGGGGGGAAATTTGATCTCCGTTAATCTATTTGTAGGTTGCATACATTCGTCAAATGACGCGTCGCAGACATTTGGCCTTACACGATTTCTTTTGCTTCGTAGTAATATAACCTAAATAAACTTTATTACAAGGTAATTTATCTCGGGTTCAATTCCCAGATCGGGCAGAGTAATACTGGGTTTTTAAAAAAAAATCTCAGTAGAAGCACGGAGTCTGGAATTGTGCCAGGTATATGGCAATAGGCTCACTCCCTATTACATGGGATTCGTAACATAAATAGTGAAAAGTGGATGTTACATTGTACAGTGGCATTAAGTGCCATAATGTGTACCTACCTTCCCTTCGGGGATAAAAGGCGTGATGTTATGTTATGTTAAACTTTATCTTCTTTGCTTTACAGATCAATTTCCCGGAGCTGGCATTTCTAAGGTTCGATATATTTGACGCGGACACAAACTATATGCTCTCTCAACGGGTTATACCTCTGCAGTGTCTCAGACCAGGGTACAGACATGTCAGACTAAGGTAAGAACCTTCTGATTATGGTAGACTTTTTGATCTCCCGAGCGTACGGCGCGTCACGTTCCGCGCTCGCCTCAAAGAGCCATCAGACCACCACAGATGGGGCCCAATAGGGCCGATGCCGATTCGGAGTCGCGGAGAACCTAACGGGTAACCGGGGCTCCGGCTCGACGTGCAGGAGAAGGAACGGGGTGGTTTTTAGTCAGTAAGAGTCTGACACTCCCTCCCGCCTCACCCAGGCGGGAGCAGTTATGCGACGATTTTCCCCCCTTAAAAAAAAAGGCTTTTTGATCTACTCTATCTCTAACTTATTGGTTTACCCACATTTACTTCATATTTTTGTTATAGTTTACTGGTCTGCCCGTGTTGCTTGATTCTGTTATTCGTGTATATTTATCACTTGACTCACATTTTTATTGGTTTTTCAAAAATTCCCAGTAGTAGCACGGAGTCTGGAATTGTGTCCGGTATATGGCAATAGGTTCACCCCCTATTACATGGGACTCATAACATAAATAGTGATAAGTGGGTGTTACATTGTACAGTGGCATAATGTGCACCTCAGCCTACCCCTTCGGGGATAAAAGGCGTGATGTTATGTTATGTTATGTCACATTTTTAAATAGTGAAAATTTGTATTTGTTCTTTTGTATTGTTTTTGTTTATATGTACGTACTACTGTGCGCTTTAAATTGTTTAATTTTGTCTGAAATATTGTTTCTCAGTAAGTGAATTATGTATGTGATTCTTTATGAGAAATAAAGATATTCTAAACTAAAAAAAAAAAAAAAAATCTAACTGAAGAGACACCAAGTGTGACTGCGGCGTGGTTTCGGAAGCGATTCCCAAATGACATAAGGGACAAATCCATATCAATATGATTTGATAGTAAAAAAGTGATTAGCACCACTAACGGAGATTCACAACCACAGAAGCCATGATGGGATGCTGGGCTTTTGAGGGAGAGGGAATTGCGCCTCCAGTAACTGCACTGAAACGACGAAACACAACGTAAGCGTTGTTTCAAGGTCTAGCAGTACCCAATTATGGCTATCTCTACTCATACGTGAACGTAATGAGATGCTATCTAACATATTTTGTATTCACAATATAAGTGAGAGAGCCATCCTTCGGAACGAATAGGCCAGCTCGACCGAAGTGATACCACGGCCTTACAGAAAACCGACGTGAAGCAACGCTTGCGTTGTGTTTCGTCGTTTGAGTGAGGTTACCGGAGACCCAATTACCCCCTCTCCTTCCCAATCTCCCGAATCCCTGAATCATCAAACTCCTTATCCCCAAAAGACTGCTAACGCACTGGTAAAGCCTCTGGTGTTCCATGTATCCTGGGCGATGCTGATTGCTTACCGTCTGCTCGTTTTCCAGCATATCCCATACAAGACAGAATATACTTATTTTAACTCTTACCTTATGCAGAGAAGGCTCATATTCCGACAGCTATGATGCTATATACTCATACCATCCTTATATCATAGTCAAAGTCTTTACTAATTCAAATTCAAAATTTCAGATCACCAACAAACCAGCCTCTAAACATGGCATCACTCCTGATCTTCTCCCGATGTTGCGAGGAGTTAGCTGGGGAGAGCTGTCGAGGAGACCTGGAGCCTACTTCTCCTCATGAGAGACGGAAGATTCACTTCCTGGTGGTGTATGCGGTAGCTAGACATGAAGCCTACTCCATTTTGAAGGTCACGCAAGATACTACTGCCAATGAGGTGAGGGTGGATGCCTGGATGTCGGTATTATGATGACATTATACCATGATAACATTGAAGTCTGTACAAATAGGTATTTTTTATGGCATACACCGGTAAACGAGCAGACGTATCACCTGATGGTAAGCAATTCGTCAATAGCGTTGCCCATGGACACCTGAAACACTAGTGACGTAACAAGTACGTTACCGGCCTTTTAGGGATTAGGAATTGAGGATTGTAGGGGATTCGGGGATTGGGGAGACTGGGGAAGGGGGTAATTGGGCATCCGGTAACCTCACTCACATGACGAAACACAAAGCAAGCGTTGCTTCACGTCAGTTTTCTGCTCGGCCGTAGTATCACTCCTGTCGAGCCGGCCCATTCGTGCCGAAGCTTGGCTCTCCCACACTTCGCCTCGCGTTTGATTCTTGTCACGGACTATGTTACTTTTCATAACCACATAATCCAGGATTTTACCTACTTTTGCGTTGCCTAGTTATTTCACTTTTACTTCCATCCATCAACAGCCTATAAATGCCCTGCTGAGCAGAGCCTCTTCTTACACGGAGAAGATTTGAGCATTAATCACCACGCTAGCTCTATGCGGGTTGGCGACTTTAAAATTATAATTAACAATTATCTCGTTGGCCGAGTGGACGCGATTGCGACTGCCGGGCAAGGGGTCTCGGTTTCGATTCCCGAGATTGGCCTATTGCCATATACCGGGTACAATTCCAGACTCCGTGCTACTACTCAGATTGTTTTAAAAAACGCAGTAATACTTTACCCGAGACCCCTTACCCGGCAGTCGCACTTGCGACCACTCGGCCAACTATTTGCAGAAATAAATATCACTTCATTTCATTTCATGGAACTTGATGGAACTCCTAATATAACTAGCAAAAACACAAGTTCATCTGTTTTTCTTACTTTAGATTAGATTTATTTTAAGCACTAGCTTTTACCCGCGGCTTCGCTCGCGTCACAAAAGGATAAAAAGTAGCCTGTGTGACATAATTATACCAATACACACAGCGCCATCTATACCAATGATTTCGTTTTCCCTCGAGAATATCTGTTTTTTTTTCGGGATAAAAAGTACCCTATTATATAATCCAGACTTCTAACTTTACGTCTGCAAAAATTCAAAGCAATCGGTTTAGTAGTTACGGCGTCAAAGCGGAACAAACAAACAAACAAACTCACTTTCCGATTTATAATATTAGTAAGGATTAGACACCCACCCTAATTCATTTCTGCTCCACAGGCTATAGCCCAATGCCTAACGAAAGCAGGAGTCTGCAGATCAGCTCGAGGCAGCTACGTGATGGTGGAGGAGGTTCCCTCTCGGGCTCCGACACAGAGAGTGCTGGCTCCTCATGAGAGGGTGTTAAGGGCTGCGTCCGCCAGACCTGGAGCGAGGTTATTGCTGAAGAGGGTCGGTGATGACCCTAGCAGTCGAGCGTGGTTGACTAGCATCAGGTATGTAAAATATAAAGTAGTTATTTTAACGTTTAAAAAAAAATGAAGTTAGACCTGTATGTATGCGGAAGACTTAACGGGTAACCGGGGCTCCGGCTCGACGTGCAGGAGAAGGAACGGAGTGGTTTTTAGTCAGTAAGAGTCTGACACTCCCTCCCGCCTCACCCAGGCGGGAGCAGTCATTGGATGATTTTCCCCCCTTAAAAAAAAAGACCTGTACGTATGTTTGACAATTATCCAGTGCTGAAAATCAGCGCCGCAACTCGAGTTATCGCTCTCGGGTCACGGCATTTCAGCTGAACACTTGGCCTTTTTGCGCCGTGCACACTTTTACCATTTTATTATTTATTTAACATAACATAACATCATGCCTTTTATCCTTGTAGGGGTAGGCAGAGGTGCACACAGAAATAACACCTACTTTTCACTATTTATGTTATGAGTGGCAATAGGCTCACCCCCTATTACATGGGGGTGAGCCTATATACCGGGTACATTTCCAGACTCCGTGCTATTACTGAGATTTTTAAAAAAAAAAACCAGTAATACTTTGCCCGACCCGGGAATCGAACCCGAGACCCCTTGCCCGGCAGTCCTACCACTCGGCCAACGAGGCAGTCAGTTTATATTTATTTATTTATTTATTTATGCACAACACAGAGATAGTACATAGGAGAATACATATAAATAATTTGGAGGTACATAGATACATGTTCCCGTAGGAATCTCTTCCTACACCCCCCCGTCGTCCCCACGGCGTGGGAAGTCCATGAGGATTTCCATCGCGTTATAAAAAAAAGGAATCTCTTCCTGCACTCCTTCGACAGGAAAAACATTTTATTTTATTACTGATGTTCTTTGTTTTTTTTTTAATTTTTTTTATTTTTTACAAGTTTTCTTTATTTTTCTTTGCTTTCTATTATCTCGCGATTGGTTGGACTGGTTTTGATGCGGTTTCAGGAAAAGTAAAAGTATTTATTTATTACATTTACGAGAAGGCCTTACTACATTAATTAACCGACTTCAAAAAATCAAAGGAGTTGAAATTGAATTTTTTAAACGTAGCTAATAAAATAATTATTTTAGAAAAACGTTGTCTCTTTTTAGATTTTTTTCTTATGTCGTGTAAAGGAGATTGGCAGGTTTGTGTGGAGGTTTTGTACCGCTATAAAATTTTGTATTTGTCATTGTTTTAACCAAGTAAAATTTAAACGATACCTAAATATTTTTATTATGAAGTTTAGAAAAAAAAATACATATTTTTAGAACTTGGGGTTCAAAAGTTATTTCACTTTGAAAGTTTTGAAAGTCAATATTATTTTTTGTAATCATACATTTTATTTTTTGGATAAAGAGGTTGTATCGGAAGTTTGTGTGATTGCTGAGTAAGGGGTTTCTTGTTAGATTTCCCAATGGAGGAGAAAATTTTGGGGATTTTCGGTATAATTGACTGTGTGAGACTGATATAAAGGAGAATCAAAATAGAGACCACTAAAAATTTAATAAGGCTGAACCGAGTAAACAAAACACCTGATGGTAAGCAATCGGCGCCGGCCATGGATGCAATACCAGAAATATGACAAGTGCATTACCGTCCTGTGGGGTTTTTCTTTAATTTACCTTAACTTTATCATCTCCTATTTCCCTTCCAGATCAGCATCATCAGACCGCAACAGAGACAGGTCGGTTCCATCTGATGAAGAGTCGAGCACCCAGGATGAAGAGCCTCGGAAGCCACCTGACAGCTTCCTGGTCTGCGTCCATAATGTGTCTCATGAGATACCATACGCCATTCTGAAGGTAAGAGCCAAGATGGATTTACACACATACCATAACATTACGCCTTTTATCTCCGAAGGGGTAGGCAAAGTTGCACATAACTTTGTGTGATCAACAGATTATTTTCCGGGTCTGGGTGTCATGTGTATGTGAACTTGTATGTTTGTAAACGCACCCACGACACAGGAGATAATCCTAGTGTGGGGCAACATTTTTATAAAAATAATTATAATAACAAATATCTAAACCGGTTAAGTCGTAGTGCACCAGCAGTGGCATACTCTAAGGATATAGCGTCGCCTGCAGCGCTGCTGCAGCGACCAAATTACCGTTTGGTATTCATTTATTCGTCCAGCTTCAATAACCTATCTATCTGTAGATTTGCTTACTATTATAGAGATAGAATTTTGACATGAGCTTCATACAAAATTGTCAAAATTTTATCTCTTGCAAATCTACAGTGCCTTTAGCCAAACGCCACTTTAGCGCTTGTCTACAGAGACAGTAGAAATCAAAATGTATGGGGATGACACTGACAAGTGTCAAAATTTACGTCAATCCCATATAATTTGGTTTTCTATTCTACAAGTAGACAAAACTGAATAGATAGGTTATTGAAACTGGACGTAAGCTGACATACGGCACACTAGCGCTCAAGGCTGTGACGGCCGTGAGTTGAAACTATTCAACGGCGAGCAAATTGGCAATTCTACATACATTTTGGTATTCTCGAACTGAAATCAGCGTCGGCGCGGCTTCCAGCCTAGCCTACAGCCTTGCTTTTACCTGTAAAATTTTATTAACATTATCTTTATTATT